AGAGTTGTGCTGGAGGACCTAGAGATTCCTAGAGAGGTGTTGTCTCAGATAAAAAATAAATAGTTTTTTATTTGCAGTTTTTCCACATTTACAGGGGCTTTGTGCCCCTAACCCCAGCAAATGTGAAAGGCTCACTATATATTAAAGTTTTATGTTGCTGTTACTCCTAGCTGCACAGCTAGGTAGGTCCCTCTGGGTGTATTTATTTTGGGAAGAAGGGGCTACATTTCCAAGGACAGTTTTCCCCATTCCTATTGCCGGAACTAAAAAATGTGGCACCAGGAGCACAAATGCAGACAACTCAGATTTATAGACCCAAAGAGAAATCTCTCACTCTTCTCATCTCTCTCTCTCTCTCTCTCTCAATACACACACACACACACACACACACAATGTTGTAGTTCCAAGCTTGAGGCAGGACCTTTGCTTACCACCAGCTGATAAAAGAATGCAGATTATCCTACAAACTAAACAGAATTCTTATCTCTTGAAGGAAGATAGATAAACATGTCCGGAGAGAAGTTATGCAACCCAAGTTTGGATTCTTCTTTTGTCTTTTCTTGATTTGCCACAGAATTTACTAGTATGTACTCTTTTTTTTTTTTAAAGTGAGCTACAGGAGAAAGAAAAAAACAAAGGAAGATTTCTTTTTTTAAAAAAAACTGCTACAAACTTTAGCCACTGAAAGAAATGCTCAAGGAAGACTTAAAAAGAGGTTTATAGAAAACCAAAAGCCCCTTGTTTTCTAAGACTTGGGTATGCATTCATTCCTCCTGTTAATCCACTCAAACCATCTATTTTTATTATTGATCCAATCAAGCCATCTATCCCTCACTGCTAGGAAATATGCAGTGACTAGAAAACTTTACTTTGGCTGCATCCTCACTGTAGAAACAATCTGGCTTGAGACCACGGCTCAAGCACCCATAAACTGGCATCACAAACTACAGTTCCCAGAATTCCATAGTCTTGAGCCATGGCAGTTAAAGCGGTCTCAGACCAGATTATTTCTACAGTGTGGATGTAGCCTCTATCAGACCTACAATTCCAATAATCTCCCAGCCCCCATGGTGCTATGCTAGGTAGGGGATTCTGGGAGTTGTCATCCAAAAAAACCCAAACCTTTCCCAAATACACTTATAGGAGGAACAAGCTGAAGAGGAAAAGCTGAGCTAAATATTAGTGCAGGGGTAGGCAACCTTTCCCCTTTAAGTGCTGAGGGACTTCAGCTCCCAGAAGCCTCAGCCATGTTGGCCAATAGTCCCATGTTGGCCAATAGCTCCTGGGATTCTGGGAGCTGAAGTCCCTCGGCCCTTAAAGGGGAAAGGTTGCCTACCCCTGTATTAGTGTTTTAAATGCTTGTCATTTCTGGGGTAGAAATGCAATCTTCTTTTCTCCTGAGAGTGGTTCTTAAACTAATGCAAGGATACTGGAAGTCTCCTACCAAAAGTTATTTCCAGCTAAAAGAGTGCCTAGACACAGGGGAATTCAGCCATGCAAACTGATCCTCTGTATCATTTTCTACAGAGATGCCTGAGCACAGGATCCATTCTGATCCAGTGGTGTTTTCTTGTAAGTAATATCTGTTTTACTCTATACAGACTGCATCTACACTGCAGAAATAATGCGGTTTGATAACACTTTAACTTGACTTAATGCAGTTTGACACCACTAATCATGGTTCCATCCTAAGGAATCCTGGGGTTTGTAGTTCGTT